TCCTACACACTACACCAGAACACAGGGGGAGTTACAACTCCTATCCTCTGAAGATGCCGGCCACAGGGACTGGCGAAATGTTAGGAAGAAAAACCTCCAGAACATGGCCAAACAGCCCAAAAAAACCTACAACGACCATTGGATCCCGGCTGTGAAAACCTTCGAGAGTACAATCTAACAATTTCCTCCCAAAAAACCCAAGAGAAGCCAAGATGCATCAGTCTGCGGAAGAAAAACCTCCAGAACACGGCCAAACAACCTGAAAAACCAACAACAACCTTCAGATCCCTGCCGTGAAAACCTTCAAGAGTACAATCTAACAATTTCCTCCAAAAAAACCCAAGAGAAGTCAAGATGCATTAGTCTGTCCAAACAACCTGAAAAACCAACAACAACCTTCAGATCCCTGCCGTGAAAACCTTCAAGAGTACAATCTAACAATTTCCTCCAAAAAAACCCAAGAGAAGTCAAGATGCATTAGTCTGTCTACATGATCTTAAAGAATGTTAAGAAAGCTTAACGTTACCACATTCGTGATAATCAGTGTTAATCATGTTAAGCTTTTAGTCTATAAGGGTACACTCAGCAAAAGGCCTGCGGACTGAACTGCCCTGCATATATACTGTATGGACTATGGACTGGATTACTGACTAGAAGAATGGTCTGCCTATAGAAGAACTCTTTGGTTTGTTTTATATACTGCACAGTTGGCTGTTTCCTGTTGGTGAAAAGGCATAAGGATGCTTTAAAGCCTGGACTTTTGCATGATAGAATGCAAAGGGGGGAAAAGAGATACATTATTGTGGTGGCTACAAGGCTTTGCCAGAGCTGGAAGACAACGGAGCAGTGTGGAGAGACTACAAGGTTAAATACTTTCAATGGCTGCAGGCCCAGGGTGTATCTTGATAAGATATTATGATCATATCATAGGACAGAGGAATAATTTATTTATGGGAGTAAAGAAAGTTGGTGCAATGCACTTTTGCTCCCAGCTTGCTGCCTACTAATACAGAACTGAATTTTAGGGGTAAAGGTAAGGAACCCACCTTGAATGCAGGAAAATTAGGACAGAGGAATAATTTATTTATGGGAGTAAAGAAAGTTGGTGCAATGCACTTTTGCTCCCAACTTGCTGCCTACCAACACAGAACTGAATTTTAGGGATAAAGGTAAGGAACCCACCTAGAATGCAGGAAAATTGGGCCATCAGTGGAGCAAAAAGCAATTGTTGCTTGAGACAAGGACACTCTCACTCACATTCACACGCAGATGCTTCTCAGTTCACTGTTTCTCATGTGATTTTTACTTTTGCAGTTTGTTCTGATTCTGAAAGAAACCTCCATTTTTACAATGGGATAATAGACTATTCTTTCTGGGGGTCCAAAAACATCTGAGTAACAAAGATTAAGAACCAGCGGGATAAACTATTCTTTCTGGCAGATTCTACACCTCCCTTACTAACACACACAGAGAAAGAGATTTTACTACTTTATTTTACATTTTTCTTCTTGATTTTCAGGATCAATTCTCCTGCACATTCCCCTGAATCTTCAGGAACCTGTTCCTTAAAATAGATAGTTACCTGTATATGTCTTATTTTCTCAGTCTTTAGGCCAAACAGCTGGAACACAGAGACTTTCAGCTACAGCACTGGTTGAAGTTTAGAGGAAAATACGGTGTTTTATAAAGGGCTGACTGTAGCTGATTTTGCATAATTATAATTTAATCTGGTACTTTAATACAAGTTTTTCTGCTTTGTACTTTTCTCAACATTGTATTGTATTAACTGATTTTCCTTTTATTTCTTTTGTATTGTGTCTTCATTTCATGGACCTTATTTCCTGTTTATCTGCTGTGATTCACATGAATCTTCAAATTAATTGCACCTGTGGATAGTCTCAGATCATCTCTGGTTACACCTTTTGCCCACTGGGAAAAATGAAGGACCTAATTTTCAATCAGTAAAAACCCAAGCAACTCAAGAAATGCAGGTGAAGATTCAAAATGAAATTTTGGAATTTGCTGGCAAATATAAGTAAGTTGGAAATTGGTTAAAATAACACTGAGGTCACAGCTCTGCAGTAAAGGTGAGCCAGAGACAGCTTGGAGTAGCTTCTTTAAGATGAAGAATACAATATGCAACAAAACTTAGGATATTTGCAAAAGTAAAGGGGGAAAGAGGGGGGAAAAGCAAAGTTTTTAGCACTTTAAAGACTGATTTATTTATTTTGCTCCCCCCCTCTCCATTCTTTTGCCAATGTGCTAACACAAACTAACATGGATATTTCTTTGAAAACTGTGAGAAAGCTTAACATTAGTTTTGAGAATATAGGGAATATTCTTGGTTCTGCTGTATGACTTGGAATTGTGGACTTTAATACAGATAGCTATTTGAGAAGAATTGTAATGGGGATTTATCATAGGATGCTAAGAACCTCTTGGACTGAGAGTGTGACCACTGAGGAAATATTAAGACCTCCCCCCCAAAAAAAGACCAAGAAGCCCCAGAAGCTCCAAAATTAAAATAAATGCAGAAAGTTTGAATACTTTGGTCAGGTAAGGATAAACTAAAAATACAAGTTGTTACAGCTAATTATTGAAGGTAAAATAAACAAGGGAAGGAGAACAGTATTAGAAAAGCCATGGAAACTGGTTTGGATGAATACTTTACTGAGCAGCCACATCCACATTCAGAAAGAGCCAGGATGATGTATCCATCTTCCAGTGGCTTTCCAGGAGGATGGTGAGAAGGGATGCACCAAAGTTCACCTTTGGAATGCACATCACATTTCCTTATTCATTTGCACATTGAAAAAGGTTGATATGGGGCAGCGTGGTCTGGAGGGGCCATGCATACTACCTGATCTTATTCATAAGACGTGTGGCCTTGGGTGCGGGGAGGTTGACCTGTGAAGCACTTTCCACAAGAACACTCGCCACCAGAGACAGAGCTCCATGTAATACATTCATGGAAACCTTTGACTTGAGAAAACTCCATTGTGAGGTGCTAAGTCTATCTCTTTTTTTAAACTGATCCCTTTGTTTTTACATTGACTTAACGTAGTTGCTTGTTCATGATTTTTTAGTCAGGATGGTTTGCTTGGTGTTAGGATTTTCTAGCTAAATTCGATTGTTTCTCCCCACCCCACCCCACCCCACCCCACCC